CCCCAAAACCCCAAAACCCCTTTAGTTAAAATAGATTTATGTTTGGAAAAAGTCAAATTAATGAAATTCATATATAAGTGTAATAATAAAGGTTTAATTTTAAACCATAAATTAGCAATTAAATCTTGTAATTAAAAATGAGCTCACAAGAGTAAGCTACTTACCTATCTCCTGTAGGTAATGATATTATAGAATTAGATCCTGATCAATTAGATGTAAATAATCGACAGCAGTAAAATCATTAACAAATTGCAGATATTTCGTTATCTTAGGCATCAGACCAAGGAGTATGATTTCAAAATTAATAAAACTAATTTAAAATGAATCAACACTAACTTTCTTAAAGCTCCTTTAGTAAAACGCATGGAAATAATATCAACTAATAAAATATTATGAGACACAGTCAAAAGTTAAATAGAGAATATAATGCTGGTAACAGTTACGATCGAACTCAAAATAATGAGATTGGTGTTCCTGGAAGAAATCTGGATTATTCAAAGAATATAGACAACATCAGTCTTGATCATTCAATATAGGAAAAGCAATAATAGACAATAAATCTAATATCACCAATTAAAGATATTTCAAGTGATTTTTAGCAGCAAAAGAATATATAGCAATAATAGCACTATTCTGAATCTAATTCTACCAAGATCAATGATTTTTCCTTTTAAGTAAGTTCATCTAAGAACCAGGAAAATTAAGATGATAATGAAAATAATTAATCTGAGGGAGAGGATTCTTACGATAGTCAGAGTGTTGAAGATTAGTCTTAGTAATAAAAACTGAGAAATGAAAATTTAATGACAAACATAATTACAACCCCAATTGAAAATAAAAACTAGATAATTGAAAGAAATGAAGACAATAACTTAATCACTAATAAAAATAAACAATCTTAAAATTTCACTTAATGATCTCGTGAAGAAAATGATTATCATTAATATGTTGGAAAAGAATCTGATGCTTGCAAGAATGTAATATCTCCTTAAGTTCCTGATAGATTGTCCTAACTCGGGCTCACTAATTCTTAAAATCCAAAAACTAAAGAGGTTAATTAATATTCATAGAGTGCTTCTAACAATGGCTTTTAGAACAACAACAATAATATGCCCTAACAACTAAAGACTAATTACAATACTATGCCTTTCTCAAATAATAACGGTGGTAATTCGAATAAGCCTAATTTTTACAACAACAGAATGAATTTTATCGGCTAGTAGTCTTAAAATTTTTACCCTAGCTAGTAAAATTAGAATTATAGAATAATTAATTGCAATAATGGTAATTATAATCAGAAAAATAACTATTACAACAATAACGCTCAAAATAACAATGGGCAAAACAATAAATAGCAATATGACTCAATAGATAGTAATCTTTAGCAACTTATGATTAAAGCTCTTTTCGAAAAAAATAATGAACTAGCTTCAAGTCATGTAGAAATAACCAAAAGTATGATGGATTGCTTTAGAATCGTAGGTTAAATATTTTCTCCCATTGTAGACTAACAAAATCAAGAGAATCTATAACTGAAGAGACTTATTAGCTAAAGATTAGGAATTGATGCTGATGATAGAATCATCATGCAGCAGATTTAACAAAGTTAGAGCAATAAAAGGCCTAGAGCTGAGTTTATTAATAACCAAATAATTAGAAATTATCACTCATAAGAAAGCCATCGAGATGAAGTTAATCCCAATAACAATTTTAGTAATTTTAAGCATTCATTTAGCAATATCTAATAACTCTAGGTAAAGAGAACAAGTAACAATATGCAGAATATGTAAACCCAAAACTCTATTCTCGAAAAAGTTGCTAATCAGTAAAAGCTATTTGGAGAAGGCATCTTTAATGGAAATGCAAATCACCACCTTGACATTCATTAGTAATAAATTATTAGGTAAACATCAAATAATAACTCATTCCTGGGTGCTGTAATGAATGAGACTAATAGTAACGAAGACATAGCATTTTTTAAAGGCAATCAAAAAATGAGTATAAATGAGGATAGTTTGAGGAAAGGACAGTAGTTTCTGCAAAAAGACTTATTTTATGATAGTGATTTGGATTTTGACCCTGAAGCAATTCTCTAAAAGTCTAAGTAATCGATAGATTATAGTGCAGCATAAGTGGGATATATGGGTTAATAAAAGATATTCAATCAGGTACTAAGTTGAAACATTCAAGCAACTACATCATTAGCACAAACAATAACTAGTAGGGAACATCAAAATATTGAGAACCAGAGGGCTAATTAGAATTAAAAGAGTTGCCCTTCATTTCCAGGAGAAAATTGAATAAATGAAACTGTACATTAGTTAATGTCAAATTAATTAGACTAATAATCTTTACCGAATCTTAAACTTTCTTCAGTCAAACATAATATGAAACAGCAGATGAATTTAGATTGTGAGTCTAATAACAAAAATTAAAGCTACAGCTTACCCCATAGCAAGGCCTTAGCTTTAAACAAACTACTAATAGACACATTTTTAGCCTGCTCTTAGTCATCTTCAGATTCTGAATTTTCAGATGATTAGAGAAATACCTAGGAGGATACAGAATTTTAGTACTCTCAGCTTATATAATTACAAGAAAAGATGCATTACTTGGAAATGAAGGCAAAAGCTTTTGAAAATTATCAGTATAAGACATTCAGTCAAGAAATAAATGATATTTCAACAACTTATCTGTTGCAAAACTCGAAAATAGTAAAAATATCAATAGAGGATAGTATTATAAAGCAAATTCTGGGACTTGAGCCAGCTTAAAGCAGTTCAAATGTCTCTTTTTAGGATATAGACTGCAAACTTGAGTTTGAAAGAGCCAAGGAGCTCAGAAATTTTCCATTCCCTCAATTAAATTCAGACGAAAAGTAGCAGAAATACAAGATTAAAAATTCGACTCATTCAATAAATATGAAATTTCCATGCTTATGTTGCTTAAGACAATAGCAAATATATCTTGAGAACAGATCAGCCAAGCAAATAATAATTGAATGCGAGATCTGCTAAAACTAAAAGTATATAGGCCACTTTGAACTTCATAAGATTCTCTCTACAAATCTGCAAGGTGTCGTAAAATCATAAGAATTTGATCAGGTAATGAGCATTTGTTTAAATTTTAATATAATTTATAGTATTGGACTGAAAATTAGTATAGTCAGATAGTTTGGAAACTTAATGCTTATTAGTAATTTTTCAAGATTTAATGCCTTAATTTCTACAATACACTTGCTGCTCTTCAATAAAGGTAAATTGTTCTCTGTAATAAAGTTATTTCATAGAATGAAGAAAGAGTTCCTGCAGGCAAAGAAATCGTTCTTCCAAAAGGTTATTCAAAAAGAAGCTTCAATTTCGAGTCATTCAGTCCTATATATAGCTAATATAAAAAAGTCTAAAGGCAAAGAGACATAGAATTCTTATATCCTAGACATATGTGATGGTGCTTATTACATGAAATGCATTGTGTCTGAGAAAGTAGAGAACTTTCAATGTGATAGAATGATATTGGAAATGATTAATAATGGGTAATTAAAGCCAGGTGATAAATTTCACTTTTTCGGAATTTACTTAATGAATAGACCTATATTGGAGCCACTAGACTAAGAGCCTGAAGTCAAATCAAGCCATCATTACCTCTAGAATAAGCATAATTATCATATGAAAATAAACATCAATGGATTTTTAAAGGCTGCAAACGATCAAATTATTGGAGAATAGAAATAAGATCCTTACTTTATTAGGCAAATATAGCATTTGATTTAGAGTTCAAAGCAAATACCCTGCATTGATGCTATCGTTGTGAAGAAATTTTAGCCATACTTTTTAGAAGAAGCTGACTTTGATGATACAAATCAAAAGACTAAAAAGAAAAGGGTTCTAAGGTCAAATAGAAGTATGGAGAGGTTAAAAACAATTAAAATAACTTAAATAGAAGAAATGCTTGAAAGAGAGATTTAAACAAAATATTCTTCTAGGGATTATTATCTAATGAGCTAAAGTGAAAGGCAGTAACTTGATGATGAAATAAGATAGCAAAGAGAGGATAAAATGAGAATCCTAAATGACAAATATAAGCTTTGTTTTAGAGTAAAACTAGTCGATTCAATTAGTTTTTATTATGGTCAGTAGCACAATCAAAGATAAATAATCATGACATTCCTTAATTCAATGGAGGATATTTTTTAAAGTATTGAAGTAGGGCAGAGATACAGATTTTTTAACATCAAGCCTGACAATATGAATTTCAATGGTGTTAAGTAGGTCAATCGAGAGTGCCTGTATTTGTAATTTTAAAAAGGTAAATCTAAAAAGGAGAGTTTTGAAGATATAGTGAGATATCAATATTAGGTTCTAAGTTCTGACATTAGAAATAAACTTGCGAAGATTAATGAATACAGTAAATCCCTGATCCCAAAGCTAAATCAACCATTTGAGTTGCTCTAGAAGATAGCATAAATTAGTAAAATATATGATTAGCAAAGGATCAATAATTTCAAAAACTGCAATGAGATAAGCTTTGTAGGTTATTTAGTAAGGACATTTTTCAAGCAGCAGACTTAACAAGATGGGATTGATAGTATAGAGAGTGTTATATTCCTAACAAGTGATCTTGAAATAGTGTGTCTCTCAATGCATGATCATAATTTTTTCCTTCGAACATCAATACCAAACGATTAAACAATTGTTATATGCGATGGAATTATATTCTAGCAAATAGGAAAGATCTCTTTAGATGATAGTTCAAATAATATACTGGGTGATCAGATGATTGCTGACTCTTTGTAAAGTTATCAAAACAGCCTTACCAGCACTGCATTTAGCTATAGAGAGTTTTATTATCTAATGTGCATTACCAATAATACAACTTCTATCCTGACTGAGAGAGAAAGGAGGACTCTATAGTTTCAAGATGAAATGAACAAGATGAATCGTATCATGAATAGTGAAGCCTTCAAAAACAAACTAAAGCAAATTTAAATGATAATAGGAAGTCGAGAGTCTTTAGGGCATGTAAGCAACAGTGATTATGACAGATCTAATAACAGCAATGGCAACTCTTCAATGAGGCCATTTTTAGCAAATGGTACTATAAATACTACTTCATAGTTTGCAACAGGAACTTTGCAAAATTACAAAACTCTATCACCAACAAACAGATTTTCAATGCAAATTAGATCAGCAAACAACAATAACTTAAGTCTCGGACTGCAAACTAAAAAAACTAAAACAAGCTTTAAAGGTATAACAGGAGGAGGCAAACTTGCTGAGTCAATCGCAAGAAATCAAGGTTCGCCAAAAAGAGCAGGGAGCAAGGAGATACAGAAGTTTTAGAGTTCTTAAAATGACAAAAAGCCCTAAGAGGAGTAATAGTCAGAAAGCATTATGTCTGAGGATGAGCATTAAGCTATGCAGAAAAAAATAAATGAAAAGCTCTCATAGCAGGGAGTTTAGGATGGAGTTAATTCTGATATTGAGGAGGATATTAAGAGTGTGCGAAAGCCAAGGAGCATAAAAAAGTTATCAGAAATTTAGGCAAATAATAACTCAAACTTTAGCAACATTTACATTGACAGAAGAACAAGAGGAGCTAAAAAGAGGCACATTAATAATTACTAGCAAAACCAGCCAACTCATTCATTGGCATAAGATGATTTAGAAATAGAACTTGAAAATGAAGACGAGGAGTAGTAGCTGGAGTCTCAAGGAATGAATGACAGCAACTCAGAGATATTTAAGTTCCCTTTTGAAGTAATTTCAATTCACAGTGAAAGCCCTTGCAAATAGGATTAATTAAATTGTTAGAATATTTGAAAATATATATTTTCTTAATTTCTTTATACTAATTCTATGGGGTTTTGGGGTTTTGGGG